GCCTGCAACCGCACCCACAATGACATTGCAGTTTCTTGCTTAAAGCTACAAAACACTTTATCCTAGGTTCATATATTCATTCACCCAAACCAGTTGGAGTATTCATATACCCAACAAGGCTATCGCATATCACATGACGGCATAAAAATGGATCCAGGGAAAGTTTGTGCCATTTTGGAATGGGCCCCTCCCCGCACCAGGAAACAACTCCAAAGTTTCTTGGGATTTGCTAATTTTTACCAACAATTTATCCCCGCTTTTTCAAAGATTGCAATGCCTATCACAGATCTCCTAAAAACCAAAGGGGAGGTAAAACCGAAGCCTAGTAAACCACTGGAGTGGTCCATGGAGTGCCAAGCTGCTTTTGAGAGGCTGAAACGACTGTTTACTGCTGAACCAGTACTCAAGCATCCAGACATGGACGCCTTTTGTAATCCAAGCCGATGCGAGTGACGAAGCAGTCGGGGCGGTGTTATTACAAACAAACAAGATGGGGACTCTGCAACCGTGTGCATATAATTCCTGTAAACTAACTGAAACCGAAAGAAGATGGGCCATCTGGGAAAAAGAAGCTTTTGCAGTTCGCTAGGCTCTGTTAACCTGGAGGCATTTCCTAGAAGGGGCAAAACACCCATTTGAGGTGTGGACGGATCATAAAAATTTGGAGGCTTTGAAAATGCCTTGGAAGCTGTCTCCCAAGCAAGTTTGCTGGGCGCAGTACTTTAAATTTCCTTACATTTCATCACTTGTTCCTGGTTTATTGAAGTTGTGCAGTTTAAAATCCCCATAATAAGCTTGGGGGGTGCACTTAATTACCTAAGCTCTCCACCCTCCCAGTGGTGGGATTCAATTTTTTTTACTACCAGTTCTGTGGGAGTGGCTTGATGGGTGTGGCAGGGGAAGGATACTGCAAAATCTCCAGTCAGAGGTGGTATTTTCCAGTTCTCGAACTACTCAAAATTTCTGGAAACTTCCGGTTTGCAAGACTTCTGCGGCAGCAGGAATCCGCGATTGTGCGTGGTTTCTGCTGCGCTCGCCGCTGGAGTGCCCCCGATCTAGCTGGATTTGGGGGCTATTAGTTACCCTGTAGAGGTAACTGAAGACAGGGGAGATCCGGCAGGGGTCCGGAGGAATCGCAACCCCCCCTCCTCAGCCAGCTTAACTCCCTTTTCCAAAAGCGGTGGAGCGGTGGTCAGCAATGGCCGCCACAAAGAAGCTTTCATCCGGTTAAGAATGTGCAGGAGGAAGCTGAGAAAGTGAAAGTTTTTGGCTGACCGGGATAACAACTAACATTTAAATACCCTGGAATTTAAGTTTTATTAAAGATACATTGCTCCCGAAGATCGGAAAAAGTGGCAAATGAAAGTAAAAAGGGAAAGTTTGTTTTTTCTCACTCTCCTTCCTTACGGTGATAGCAGAGAGAAATCGGAAAAACCCGCTTTGGCATCAGCAGGCAATTAAATTGGAAAATTAAAGCCAAGGGGACAATAAAGATTTCTGAACATTGGGAGAAAAAAAAACTTTTTTTTGCTATAAATGGGAAGGGAGAGGAAAAGAATTAATATTAAGATTTTGCTGGAGGAGGCTGCTTGGAATATATAAGATCAGAGCTAAATTGTAACAAGACTTCTAAAAGATACATTCTAATTGGAACTTTGCAACTGAACTGTAACCCCAGGAAGAGAAAGTATAAAAAGAAGAAAGTGCTAAATGAAACAGTTTGTGTGTATTTGGATTGCTTGGTGACTTTGGGATTTTTGGAAATTATTATTTGGAAGACTAAAAACATTTGGGTTGTTTAAAAAATTTTTCACAATGGCATTACTTGTCGATGAACTGAAAATGGAATTTAAAAAGTTAAAAGAAGAGGAACGAGAAGGGAAGGGCTCTTTTGGATCTGTTTTCCATTTTTTAGAAATGGCTATTTTTACATATCAGAAACTACAAGAACAAGAAGACTGGGATGAAGAAGAAGCCGTCTTTAATGAACAAACAACTCTAGCTGGGGAAGAAAAGGGAAAGGGGAAAGAGAATGGAGAATTCAAGACTTAAAAAAACAACCAAAAAAGGGAAAAATAAGGTGAAAAATCGATACAATGTCAGAAAGCAACAGAATAGAGGAATACAGAAGAGGGTGGAGATTAAGAGGGTGGAGATCAAGAGACAAGGGGGTAAAAAGGCTAGACTGGAGAAGAAAGGAAGGGAAAAAAGGAAGTTACAAAGGTTTGAAACAAGATGTAAAGAAACAGAATTTCTTCAGAGATAATGGGTAAAAATATTAAAAAAGAGATTCTGCAAAAGCACATAAGACTGTATTGTTGTATTTATATTTGAAATAATGTTAGAAAACTGGAACATTATATGATTATAAAATGGGACAAAATATTAAGTAAAATGCTTAAGATTTAATGATAGAGTTTAATTTGCTATGGTTTATTGTTTTAATTATATTATAAACTTATTCTTTTTTATTTTAAAATATAGTACATAGCTTTAGAATGTATTAAGCAGAATCAGAATGAAAAGTATGTATTATTTTAAGTGTTAAATTTAGGGGAAAGATATAAAGATATAAATCAGTGATTACAGGAGAAATTTTGTGTTAATGAGAAAAGATAATAGATAATTGTAACAGAACAGACAAAAGATATAAGTATAATGATTTAAATTGTGATGAAATAAATAAAACAGAATTAAGAGAGTGAAAAGAGGGGAGAAGCTATACAGAAAATGTAGAATGGTAAATAATATATGAAATGGGATATAAAGTGAGCATGAATTCAAATTAATGTCTGTACAAAAAGATGTAACCCGGGACTAAGCCGCTTTCCAAAAAGAAGTTTTTTGTTTTCATGTTTTGTGTTTTGTTTGTGTATGTTTGTTTATTGAAAATCAATAAAAAATGGGAAAAAAATCCGCTACCAGTTCTCCAGAGCTGGTCGGAACCTGCTGAATACCTCCTCTGCCTCCAGCTAAGCTTTCCACCCTCTGGGTGTACTAAGAATGCTGAAAATTACCTCTACTTGATCCAGTAATGAGCCCACTTAGAAAATTCTTCAGCAGTTACAAAGCCACATCCTGCCAACTACACTGACACTGGTTACATATGAAGCATTGGTAGTCAGCTCCCTTAGCTCTTTGCTAACAGATACCAGAGTGCATGTTGATTGACTGTAAATTTCAGGGAAAGCACAAAGCGTAATTAAGATGGAGGTGCTTTGCTTGAAATTAATTCATGGCTCACTTGCAAAAGCACCTAATAGTTTGCTAATAGATTAATTGTACAGGCCCCAATCATGTTGTGAACAGATAATAGTAGTTAAAGGGAGGTGTCCTGTCTTTTGGTATCTCAGCCATCTCTGTCAGCTAGCCATCTTTTTTCCAACTTGGTAATTCCAGGTGTATTTGGACTATAAACCAATTTTCCCCCAATAACTACAGGTGATGGAATTTGTCAATTTCCTTGAAAAGTACCCAGCTGAAGAATTACTGGGCAAGGGATGGTTTTTGAGTGAGCAATTCAAGAAGGCTGAAACGTGCTACAATCAAGACTGTTTCAAGTGAGAAATAGTCAGAACATAATAGACTTTTATCACAATATATTTTTGCTAGCAGAGACCAAGCTGCTCCTCATTCAGAATGTGCATTGTCAGCTGATTTTTAACCCCTGAAATGAAAAATACAAGTGCCTTTCCTTGTCCTTGGAAGTAAAATAGTTTAGAGGTAACAGTTTGTTGCTTCTCATGGCATTCACAAAGACTTGGGGGGGGGGGCAGTGGAATTACTGAATTAGAAAAGGATTTTGGAGTGAAATCATACTTTTTCATATAGATCAGAGGTCTCCGAACTTGGCAACTTTAAGACTTGTGGATTTTAACTCCCAGAATTCTCCAGCCAGCACACCTGGCTGAGGAGTTCTGGGAGTTGGTCCACAAGTCTTAAAGTTGCCAAGTTTGGAGACACCTGATATAGATGATGACTAAAAGCTGCCTATAAATGGCAGAGAAGTATACCAAAAGGCAGCTCACTGTCTACAGGAGAAAGTCAGAACAAAAAAATAGGGACAGTAATCCACCATCATTCAGCCTGAAAGCTCATCACCACTTCTTCGATACCCACTGTGAAAGCCTACAACAGTATACTGTATTGTTGCTTTCATGAGACATTTCATGAGATCATCAAATCTGTTGAGATTGCAAGTAAATAATTTAATTTATTAATTATTTAAAGTTGCATGGCTGCCCATCTCAAATTTATGATTCTGGACAGTTAACAATAAGTAAAAACAGCATTAAAGTTGTTAAGTTTCATCTGATAGGGTCCAGGAGAGCCTTTTCTGCCATGGCACCCACTTTCTGGAACAACATCCCCACTTCAATGGAAAGAGTACTGACTACTACTAGTAGTAGTAGGAGCAGTACTGACAAGTAATGCTGTTTGTCACACTGTTAGATCAGCAAGTATATGCTCACCTCTATTATACAATTTAAGGCAGTATATACATTATATTCCTGCCCCCAATTTCCCCCACAATGCCATTAGCTGAAACTGATTTGACGGTATATAATCAAAGAGCATTATCAGACCCTGGGAGCAGAATCTATAACTTTCCCCATTGCATCTAACCATACCACAATGGCCCGACAGCATATTTTTTTCTCCCAAGCCCAGAAAAGGAAGAGGAGAAGAAAGACTTAAAATTGGAGAACAATTAGAAGGCCTCCCAGGCTTATGTCGTATCCCTCCAATACAGGCTTGAAAAAACGTTATTTTGCAGTCTTTTCTCCTTGCAAATTAATGATATTCACGTCTACGCGAACTCTAATTCCCATCACGCACCGGAAACATTGTGACTGAGATAGCAAGCCCAAGTGTTTCTCATCACGCAACGGGCGCCGAGGTTCTTTGCCTGACTCCATTTCCCGACATGCTTTAGTTTTGCCGGATGGAATTGGCGGAGCTTGGCATGTAAATCCAACGGCTGGTCCCGCCCATATTTGTTTTGCCGCGCAGGAGTGAACTCGCCATGGCGGGCTTGGTGTCGCGGCACCAGGCTCTTTACAAGGGGTTCCGGACCCCGCCGTGGAAAGAGACTTTCCGGCAGGTAAGCAGAACAAAGTTCTGCCCTCTCCTCCCCTCCAGTCTTTGGAACGCTGGAGGCGCCAACGATGCAAGGTTGGAACGCGGGCGGATAATTCCGCCGCCAAATCGGTACTTGGTGCCTGGCAAAAACCCCCGAAAGAGTCCCAGGGATGCTGGCTTTCCGGGAGGGAGATCCCTGGAAAAGTAGTGGGAGTGAACCTTTTGAGCAAAGAAGTCTAAAATGCCTGCAGTTGATTCGGATTAATGTCAGGCTCATTAGAATCAACCGGGATGATTAGGGGACTGGAGGCTAAAACATACAACGAACAGTTGCAAAACTGGGCTTGGCTAATCTAGTAAAGAGAAGGACCAGGGGAGACATGATAAAAGTCTTCCAATATTTGAGGGGCTGCCACAGGGAGGAAGGGGTCAAGCTATTTTCTAAAGTGCCTGTAGGCCAGACAAGGAATAATGGATGGAAACTGAACAAGGAGAGATTCAACCTGGAAATAAGGAGAAACTTTCTGACAGTGAGAAAAATCAACCAATGGAACAGCTTGCCCTCAGAAGTTGTGGGAGCACCATCACTTGAGACTTTCAAGAAGAGATTGGACTGCCATTTGTCAGAAATGGTGTAGGGTCTTCTGCTTGGGCGGGGGTTGGACTAGATGACCTACAAAGTCCCTTCCAACTCTGATTATCAGATTCCTTTTCGTGAATCGTGCAACACACCACTTAAACCTTAATTTCTAATTATCATGGCATTTCAAATTCAGTGGTGAAAAAACTAAGGTTCTGTAGTTACGCAAGAAAAACCAAATGCACAGGTATAGTGTAGGAGGGTACTTAGCTCAATAGTAGCAGCTGTGAGAGGGATCTTGGAGTCCTAGTGGACAATCACTTAAAATATAAGCCAGCTGTGCTGCAGCTGCCAAAAAAATCCAACAAATTCCAGGCTGCATTAAAAGAGGGATACATTCAAGATCATGTAAAGTATTAGTACCACTTTATAATGCCTTGGAAAGGCCACACTTGGAATACTGCATCCAGTTTTCGTCACCACAATGTAAAAAAGATGTTGAGACTCTAGAAAGAGTGCAGAAAAGAGCAATAGAGATGATTAGGGACTGGGGGCTAAAACATATGAAGAACGGTTGCTGCAATTGGCTATGCCTAATTTAATGAAAAGAGGGACAAGAGGTGACATGATAGCAGTGTTCTGATAAATAGGGAGCTGCTACAAAGAAGAGGGGGTCAATCTATTCTCCAAAGCACCTGAAGACAAGACAAGCAATGGATGGAAACTAATCAAGGAGAGAAGCAACCTAGAACTAAGGAGACATTTCTTGTCAGAACAATTAATCAGTGGAACAGCTTGCCTCCAGAAGTTGCTCTATTACAAAGAAGAGATTGGACAACCATTTGTCTGAAATGATACAGCTTTTTCTGCCTCAGCAGGGCGTTGGACTAGAAGATCTCCAAGATCGCTTCCAACTCTGTTATTCTGTTCTGTTCAGGGTTAACTGCTGACATTGTTATATTGTTTTTCTTTCTCTAGCGCTGTGTGGATCGACTGAAAAGTAGTCGGGCTAAGTTGCTTGAAAGATATCGTCAAGTGGGAGAAAATGGAGCAAGTAGACCAAATAAAACTTTGCTGGTACAGGAGGTGATGGAAGTCGAGTGGAAAGCTTTGCAATCTCTGGATTCTCAGGTACCCTCTCTGAGAAAGCAAGATTCTTCCCAGGTTAGTGCAGAATGAATGGGGGGGGGGGGGTTGGTGTCAAAACATAGGTTTGGCATCCATGTTTCTCAACTTTAGCAACTTCAAGTGTGGACTTCAGTTCCCAGAGCTCTTCAGCCATGCTGGCTAAGATATTCTGGGAGTTGAAGTCCATAGATCTTCAAGCTCTTGAAAAACACTGCCTTAAAGGGATCAGTAGTCTTTTCTGATGTCATCATGCAATGGTTCTAGGGGCAAAAATTAGGCATAAAATTTCACAAGATGTTAGTATCGCACTTGCAAATCTAGGCCATGTTTGAGATATGACCAAAAGTTTATTTTTATTTCACATTGATTTGAAATGGTGATTTAGGATTGGAAAGAATGTTCTTGAATAACATTCATCTATATGTTTTACATATGTTTTTCTTATTAAGCAAAAATGAAATACTTCTGTAAGTTGTAGAAAGTAACTTTGCATATGAGGCTTTTAAAATAATTTATAAAACAATTTCAAGTTCATTTGAAAAAATAAGCAGTGGGGTAGGAGTAGAAACACAATTTACTTTTGATATTTTGTAATGGTTTATATTTTATTGATTTTATTATAATTTGTTATGAGCTACTTTGAGAATCAGACAGCATATACATTTAATAAATTACTATTTTGAAAATCCAAAAATACTAAATTTTGAAGCAGTTGCTTAGTAACTTAGTGGGAAAAATGCTCAACTGGTGCTGTGGAGAAAGCATGTAACCTTGAATTCTTTGTAGAAAAGCTGTTATAAACACACTTTCTTTTTTAAAAAACAACATATCATTCTACCATTGCCAGAATGCATTGTCACAATAATTCTGAGCTTGACCTAAAAGTATATTTTAGAGCGGGGGTCCCCAACCCGTGTGCCGCAGCCTATTCGCAACTTGACTATGAGTGTAGGGCTGGCACATGCGTGTGCACAGCCCGACTCAAATCAGTGGCGCTGGCACTTGCAGCTCCATGCACACGAGTGGCAAGGCCAGTTCTCACAGCCCCACCTGTGTACGCATGCACACCTGTCCCTCACTCAACACCCCCTCCCCCTCGCATTGGGCGGCCAACTTGGAAAGTTTGGGGAACACTGCCTTAGGGGAGGCCAAAATATCTTCCCGCTTCTTGAATGAGATGGACCTGATGTTATAAAGCTAAGAAAGCAGTGGAAAGATTTTTTTAATGTAGAATTCACCCTTGTGTTCTGAGAGCCTTTGGTAGATAAAGCCCAATGTATGTAGCTCACTACCATGGAGGGGTTGTGATGACCCAGAGTATATCAGAAATATAACAAAATCCAAAACATAACTAAAAGTCCTTTAATGCCTTCAACTTGGCTTCACTGTTTAATTGTTCACAGTGGAGGAGTAAACTATTTTCAAAATAACATTTCAAAGGAAAGAAACACAGTTCAAATTCAAAGAGCCGATAACAAAGCAAGAACCAAAAACAAACAGCATTGAATAAAGTTCCATGACAGACCAGGATAGATAATTGCCAGCTTCAGGAAGATAACCAGGGACAGTCCGTTGGAAGAAGATAAACCTCCTTGAGAAATAAAACACTATAATCTATCTCCAGCGGCTGTTAACATGCAGGTCAAACCTGTTATGCAGATCTCACACCTGCAACCCATGAAGATGGCTCTCTCCTCCTGAGTAGACCATGTTTTACCCTGATCCTCTCCTCCCTGTATGCCCTAGGATGGATAGGGGATGGGTCTGGGTCTTCCTCTGACTGCTCAGCCGGCCTCTGCCCTTCCCCAGTCTCCACCACCACCTCTGGAGCCACACTTCCACTCCCTGTTCGCTGTTCCTCCTCTTCCTCAGAGTCAGTTTCCAGCAGGGGCATGACAGGGGTCCTGGGCAAACATCTGTTTCTAGTCTTCATTTTGGAAACTATGTATGTATGAAGTGGAAGTGGTCCTAAGTGTGTCTCTCTCACATATACCATTTTCCTTCCTTAAATATGACTAGAATATTTAACTGGGTGTTTTTCTCTTTAGATGCTTGAAGAACTGGCTGTATTGGATGAAATCCAGCAGGAACTGATCTTGCAAGGTATTCTGGCTTATTTTTGATAACTAATTAATTTTGATAGCTTTAATTAATGCTTTTACTAAAGGGCAGTGCATAGCTGAATTTGATACATTTCAAAAAAGCCAAGCAGGATCAGCCAGGAATTTACTAGGGAATCTCAGGGCTCTATGTCCTTCAGCAGTGCATGTTTGTAAACTGTGTACTGATAAAAGTGTGACTTAGAATTTGATGATGGAAATGTATAATCAGCTCAAAATCAATAACATCTGCATCTTATAGTTTACTTGATTCAAAGGCAGGGAATAAAAAGTTTCATTTTCCATATGAATGAAATGTATTGACCCAGAGAAAGCTCTGTCAGTAACTTACTTCTTGCATGTCAGGAGGAAGGAGAGGAAAACCAAGGTACATTTAAAATTAGCAAACAAAAATATGAAATAAAGTGAGGAAATTGGATATATCACAGTTCAATATAGTTAAAATGTTGGACTGGGGACATACAGATTCGATTTTACTCCTAGAAATTAATTCAATGACTTTGTATCGGCCACACTATTTTAGCTCAACCTTCCTCATAATGTTATTGCAAGTAAATAAATGGAGTACAGTACTGCTGTAGTACAACTCCATTGCCTGGAGTCCCTGAGGAAAAGTGGAATAGAAAGCTAACAGATATGTTTATTTTTATCCTGCCTATTTTCATAAATAACTCAAGGTGATTAAAATACCAAATACTCCTGTTTTCCCTAGCACAACAACCTTGTGAGATAGATTGGACGGGGTCACATTAATCAGAAAGTGGATCAAAATCCAGGTTTCTGAAGCGAGGAATATCCAGTTCCATGGGCTCACTGGGAATTGAACTCAGTTTAAGAGATTTAACCAATTAACAGCAATGTTCTCCTTTGCAGAACAGCTGGCCATAGAGGAGTATGAGCAAAGTCTGAAGTTTGAGGAGGAATGCCTTAATGCAATGCTTGATGGCTTAGATACAGAACACCATATCATCTGTCCTGTTTGTAGAAGGTGAATTCATTGGCTTGAGAAAGCATCTTGTAAAATCTCCATTTCTGCTTGGTACCAGGCCGCATGTTTATATATTTACTTATTTATTGAAATCCTGCCTCTATTATTTTTAGAAATAGTTCAAGATGGAGAATGTGTATGGAGATTCTCATTCATTCAGATCGTGATTGTCCCAAAGATGTTTTTGGGAAAGGCAAATGGACTTTGTTTTTCTTTGAAGAGTTTTCCTGAAATGTCTGAAAAAGCTTCTTGGATGAGAAGTGAAACGTCTTCAAGGAAAAACAAAATCCAGTTGCTTTTTGGGTCAATATGGAGAACATACATAATACGCTTTCCTATTTTCCCCACAACAACATCCTGAGAAGAATGTTGGACTGAGAGTGACTGGCCCAAGTTCACCCAGCCAACTTTTGTGCCTAGAATGAAACTAAAAACCCCAATCTCCTAATTTCCTAAACTCAACACCTTAACCGCTACTCTTAACACTGGACTGCTGTTGAAGCTTCATTTTTTGCAAGTTCTTTTTATGCAGATATTTTACTTTTTCCATCTTCAGAGATAAGTAGAGAGCAAAAAAGTTGGCTTTCCTTACTTGCATCTTGAAGTAAGGGTTGATTTTCTTAATTAGTGAAATTTGTAGTACAGTATGGCAAGCTCTATATTCAGGACTACAGAAAGTGCCTTCCAATTCTTCCTCCTTTCTGATCTTGTCATGCTGTTCGGTCTTTTACAGATGATGTTAACATGTTCTCTTCTTGCTGACCTCTGTTTTGTACATGTTGCTTGACCAGGGAAAGATTTTGTCTTAGTTTTATATCCCATAGCTGATTTCAATATCTGGAAATCCCAATTTCTCAGCTGTTGTGACTTGTGAATAATTAGTGAAGAACTATTCGTTATTCACTAAGTATGGCCTAGCTAGACATCAGAACCCACCTAGAGAAAACTGGTGAGACTGAAAGCAATTCAGAAGTCTTCAAACATGCCTGGTTTCTTACTATGGATACATATAAGAATATACATATACATGTAAGAAATGCTTTTAGACACTTGACCTACTTGTAGGCTTAAGTAGTAATGAGTCATAGCATATTTTAGCTACCCAGTTTCTGCAGAATATATAAACTGGACCCTACAATTCTTTTTGAAATGTCTAGTTTTAATTAATTTTTCAAGGTAGTACAGTAGCAGAATGCTTTTCTAATTGTTAATCAGTTGATTGCTTTTCACTTTCCTTCTCATTTGATCCCCATGTGCAATGCCTTTGATTGTAAACTAGGCAAATTACTTTTCACTTTCATCGTTGCAATTTTCTTTGCATCTAGGAACAATCTCAGTGTGTCAAGTAACATGGTTGCATGCCAGTGTGGACTCTGCATCAATAGCCTGGTAAGCAAATGTTAAGGAACTTCAGTATTTAAGCTTCTGCCTTGCATGCTGAGGTTTGTTGGTTTGATTGCTTCTTCCTCACTTAAGTATATTTAGACATAAGGCTGATGAAAGAGACCTTTCGTAGTCTGAGGCCCTGTCAGCTAAGTACATGTTGTGATCCCAGCCAACTGCTTTCTGCTTTTCAGCAAATCAACTTACTATGATCTGTGAACCTTCTATGTCAAGAATGGTCAGTCTTCTTTGACCAGTTTGTGTGTGTGTGTAGGAAGAGGGTTGATCTCTTGGGTCCTATTCTTGTTGGGTATCTTTTTCCTCCAGTTTTTCAGGCGGTACTTTGATGTTGGCCTATACTAGTTGCTGAGCAACATGAACAGGATGTGCTAATGGTGCTGCATTAGGTGGCCTTTGGTCAGACCTAGGATTCATTATCAAATGAAATAACCCAAAACATGAAATACAGGTGGTTTTCAACTTTGTTCAGTCACCATTTGCAGTTACAGTGGCACTGAATGAAGAGACTTGCAACTGATCCCCGGTTATGGCCTTTGCGGTGCTTCTGTGGCCATGAGATTAAAATACAGGCATTTGGAGCCTAGTTTCACTTATGACCACAGAGTTGCTTCAACTGCCCCTCCCCAAACCTTTTGGCTCTCTGACTCCACAGTCCATGCTGCCCTAGCTGACCTTTGCCATCTTTTTATCCTGTGGTCCTTTGCAAGAGAGCTGCTGGCAGCACAAGGCTTTCTTCCACAAGTCACCCAGGGCAATTTCCTCCTGAGCTTCCTGGGGTGGATAAGGCTTCCAGTGGCAGCTGAAGTTTTGCACTGTGGCTCAGGGGATTCTTGCAAGCCCCCTAGTCATGGCACACCAGGAAGCCCCTGTATTGCAGCATGGCAAGTATCCCAGAGCCGCGCAATTGAGCAGCCCAAAAGACAGACATGGAAGGGGAGAGGCATTTGGGAGAAGTCGAAGGGGAGGCAGTCCCTTGCTTGGGAAAGGCAAGGCTGCCCAAGCCCGGAATAGCTTGGACTGGTGGAATTCACTTAACAAGTGCTCTTGCTAAGCAATGTGGTTGCAGTTTAAGACTGCATTGTTTAGCAATGGGAATTCCAGTCCCAGTTGGGGTTGGAGATGGAGGGCTACCTGTAAAATAAAAAACAGAAGATACCGCCTTCATGCCCGGCTTGTAAGCTTTCCATAGCACCTGGCTCGCCATAGTAGAAAGCAAAATAATTAGAGACCTTCAGCTTTATTGAAAGCTATTCTTAGAAAGTTATGAATGCAAGATGGTGTCCAATGTAAAACATCCTATGCTCTCTTCACAGGTGTGTGTAACAGGAAAAAGTAGGGATTGGGGCTAATTGGTAACTGGGCAAGCAACAGCTTGACTCAATCTGCATAGAAATTTGATTTTTCTCTTTTAAGGGGATGACTGAGGAAAAGCTCCTGTTGCTCTTAGAAGAAAGCCTGATGGAACACAGCCAACATTGTCAGCACTGTCCTGAATTCACTGTAACTAATATGATGGAAGAAGCTAACCTCCTTATGAGCTGTCAGGTAATCTTATGAGCTGTCAGTATCCAAATTTAATGAGAATATTGCAGTGACAATTCACTCCAATAATCCCCACCCCACCCCAATAATTTTTACCACAAAAATCAGAAGCAGTTTCTCATACACAATATTGTAAATACAATGCTACAATGTTACTCTCTTGAAAAGCAAAGATGTCCTTGGGCTGAGCTCAAATATTTGTGGCTGCATCGATGCAGCTTTCTTGGTTCACACAAGAAAATGCCTGAAATCAGCCATGTTGGGTTTGTTTTGTCATATTTTTATTCTGTTTAAAGACTGGCTAAAACGTAAAGGGATTTTTAAAAAGTGGAACACAAAGCAGAATAGCGTAACCTTTCTGTAACTATCCCAGTTTTGCAAGAACTGGCCACAAAGAATGCTTTCTTTGCTCATAATCATTCGAGAAAAACCCTCTAGAGCACAGGTGTCAAACAGGCTGCATCACATTGCCATCACGTGATGTTCCCTCCCCTTCACGGAATGGGTGGGCGTGGCCTGCACATGAGGCATCAGCACGTGGGCCGCCAGTTTGATAATCCTGCTCTAGAGGGAGGTGCCATAATTTTCCAAACTTAAGATTTAAAAATTTACATAATGGTGCTCAGTGAGAAAGAAGCTATATTTAAATACACACTGGCACTTTGAATGAATCAGGACTTTATTTAAGAAACAATAACTTTTATTTCCTTTTGCTTTTAGGCTTGTGATTCCTGGACAGTGATTTTTTAATTCCATCTGTATAGCCCTACTTTTGTAGAAATACATTGCTGCTGTCTCCCCTACCCTTTTCTTTAGAAGGGTGTGTGTATATAATACAATGTATATAAGTACAAAAAGTGTCCTCTACTTTTAATTTAACTGGATCTATGCTATTTTTTTCTAATGTGTTCTGAGGAATAAACTCCTTTTATGATAAGAACTGGGGATTATAGGTTTGGGCAGACTTTTGGTTGCAGTACTTTTTTGTACAAATTCTTGGAAATTTTGATCCAAATTGCATATACTATCACGAGGGGATTAAAGGAATTGCTATGTGTGAAGCACCTGTTTTGCAAAGAATGTATCTTAGATTCCAACTGGTGACATTTTTGCTTAAAGGTCAGATAGCAGAAGGGGATGGATATATTTCATTCTTGGACAAATCTTAATTGTACAATTGTTGGCCAATGTACCAGTCACCAACTCTGAATTCCTGTCATTTAGTGGAAACAACACTGGGCAGTGATCCAATTACATAACATTGCATGTCATCTTTTTAATAACATCTGGAAATAAAGTATGGGTGGGCAACAGCTTTTTCCTACCAGATATGCTGGTGAAATTGAGAGCTGTGATTAAAAGGAGGAGGGCAAACTACCCCTCAATAACCAGAAAGACTCTGGTAGCCCTAATGTATCTTTTTAGATGAAAGACACAATGCCTTATTCCACGAAAGGGTTTTTAGCCTGGCTTCCCTTTGTCCCAAAGAATTCTGCTTTAAGCTATGGCATAAAGATCCGCTGAAAATGGAAATACAGGTTTCTATTGCAAGCTCATTTTTCTGGAGGTCCAGTTGATTGGCAATTTCCATTTTAGAAAATCCCAGAATTTGGATTCAGGGAAATACCTGATGTATAAGTTGGTACATTGAGGCAAGTTTCTTTTACTTATTTCGAGAGCCGCTTTAACAGAGATTGGATAGTATAGGAAAAATCAATATAAAATACTGTATTATTTAAACACAAGCTGGGATAGAGAGACAAGACTATACCATCAGGTATATTACTATTTCCCACATTTTGGAGGATAAATTCTTTGAAATCAATAAACTAAAATTACCTTATGGTAGCCAAGCAGTATCTGAGCCAGATGAAAGATCATTTTGTAGTTCCTTCCATCTTAAATAAAGCCTGACATTGATGCTGTACTCCCACCAAAATATGTAATATAAATTGGGTACCTCCATTTGCATTTTTTCCTTGCTAGCTTTAAAAGATCAAATTCAAGTCAGATGCAAAACAGTGGCTCATATAGATTAGTTGACCTATTCACATTACATACTAGTGTGATGCATTCCCTGAACAAACAATATAACATATTTGCACTAATACACCAAATGTATTAATTCCTGCCAACATCAGTTCTGATCAATGTTATATGCTGCACTTAAAATCATTGTAATTTTTTTTTCTGTTGGGCTTTGTAAAAAAACGGGGGAAGCTAGCTCAATATATGTAGTCATGCTGTTGACTAGTTAGTTTTAAGCAGCATGTATTGGTTCAAACAGTTCCATTATTACCGGTATCTGTTTTGAATCCCCAAAAGGCCAATGTGGTTCCCCTTTCTCTTATCCTTCTTGTTTTTCTTCAAATAACTAAATACCTAGGTGGGTACTGTTCATTAATATTCTGATTTGTTTTTTTAAAAAACTTTCTGCATTGTTGACCAACTTGAGTTTTGTTAATTGGAAAGGCAGGATATAATTTAAGAAATAAACTACCTCTAAAGCCGTTAACTTTGATTGTGATGTTTTCTGTTACTTGAAATCCAGATGCAAAATTACCTATTGCTTCTTTCCAAACACTATAAGATTCATGTTCTCTTGGGTTATAATCCATTGTACAGTTAAGACACAAATGGGTGTCCTGTATGAAGCTTTGAGCAGAACCTGCAGAATCATTTTAGCAATTTCAATTATTAAGGGCTTACAATGGGATCCTAGTTTGACTTTACTTCCACTTGCCAGATAATCTTCCCACAACTATGGCCATACTCCTGAAAGCAAAAGAGATTGATCAAATGGGCTTTAAACTTCATTCCAGGAGAAAGATGCTATCTCAGAAAGGCCTTTATTGTTTGCAAATTATGCAAACAATTCATGACTGCCACACAAACCTCTTGGAAATATTTCCAAAGGGGAAAAAAAGAATGGATTGAAATGTGTTTATTATATTACTATACAGTCACTTTCTCAGTCTGTTCATTTTGTCCTCCACTTCCTGCACAATATTATGCAGTTTAGCGGCAGTTTTTGTCAAGGCAGCAAAGCTTTCTTTAAGGTTTCCAGCCCCTTCATTTCTGCCTATATTGTCAAGACCATCAAACCATTGTAGAATCCCTTCAAGATGCCCCTGAACAATCTTTTGCTCTTCCAGTTCTGTTTGTAGGGCTTGCTCAGCACACATTTCAGCTTTAAGTTCTCTTTCTAGCTGGCTGATTTCATTCTCCAGCTCTTGAAACTGTTTTGCAGTATAGCAAAATTCCTCTTGAAATTTATCTTCTGGAAGGCAAATGTTCTTGGGAATGCTTAAAACTGTGCTTAAAAGAGATTTTTCCATCTTAGTGAACTGATTGTCGAAGCGTTCCTTCATGAAAGCAAAGAATTTTTCTGTGCTCCTCCGGATTAAAGTAGGTGTAAGACTAGGACAGATGTTCTGTAGTTTATTCAATATAACTTTCTCCACTACCAGCATTATATGAGAAAGATGATCTTGAAAAGCAAAATATATCCGCAACATGAATGTTTGAGGGGTAAAACCAAAAAACTGTGCTTCATATGTCATTGGATTTATTGACATGATGAGAAATACCTGGAAAGAACATTGTAAAAAAAATAATCAGTCTTTAGTAAATTAATTGGACTGGGTTCATACATTGTGCTACAGTGTCAGTCCTTTGAGGTAGTCCAGACACGAGTTTACTATAAGATTGCCATAACAGATTTTTGCAAGTCTGAAAGTACATCTCCCCCCCGCCCCCTCCCCCACCCTTGCCTTTATGGTCCAAGAGACTAAGGAGGGTCCCTTCTGAGAATTTTGCTACACTATTACTTCTGTGGGCTAAGGTGCCTCTTATCTCACAGTTGCTTAGACTGCTGCTGCTGCTCCTCATCCTGTTGTTTTGCATGCTGCCTGCATCCCACAGATGTGGCTTAATTTGTTTCTGCAGTCGGGTTTCTGACATGCTGCAGCCTGGTACCAGTCCACAGACCAGGGCTAGGGACCCCTGTTCTAGTCCAATGCCTTGCCCGAGGCAGGAGGCCTTACACCATCCTGGTCAAATGATTGTCCAGTCTATTTGTGAAAACCTCCAGTGATGAATCACCCATAATTCCAGGGGCAAGCTATTCTATTGATAAATTGTTCTCAATTTCAGAAAATTTCTCCTTATTTCTAGTTGGATCTCCAACCCATTACTTCTTGTCATATTCTAAGTCAATCACCTCTTCTCTATGAGAACCCCTCAAGTACTAGAAGATAGTTTCAAGTCCCCCTTAATTCTTCTCTTTGATAGACTAAACATACCATTACCCATTAACCAAACCATAGTAAAATGTGGGTTAGTTGAGTATATTACAAAAGTTGGATTCATACCAATTTCTGAAATAAAATGGTTTAGCACAGTGCATGATTATTATTAGAACTGATAAACTATTCCAAGCATTTGGGCACATGGACACATATTTTTCTTTAAAAGAAAAAAAAGATAATTGCAAAAGTAGGAATTTAAAAAACACTATTGTCTAATGGACAGAAAAAGGGGCAAGCAGTCATACAATGAGCACCATACAAATCAAATCTCTCAGTAGACACCCAACTCCTTTGCATAAACTTTTATATTCAGAATTACTTGATACTTGTAAAATAAAAACTTGATAGCTAAATAAAATTCTGAATACTAATTCCATATCATTGAAATGGTTATAAATAATAAATGGACTGATTTATTCCATGAAAACATGTTTACAACTGAGCAGCATTATATTACTAAAGAATGTAAAAACTAGCTATTTTGAAATAATTCAAATATTCAAAATTTACTGAAATCGGGCAACCTTTTCTGAGGAAATATGATGGAAAACATTACTTTGGGCTACTACGTTGGATGATGGAATGTTATATACATAGGAACTTGCTTTTTTGAATTAAATAAATTATGCCAAACTTGTTGAGCCTCAGAATTCTTTCTAATTAAAGGGCTCTAAACATCACTTTTTGAATTTGGATATTTTTTTCTGAACCATACAATAGTTCTCAATAGTGAAAAATTACCTCTGATAAATTTTTGCCAAACAATCCATAAGAGAAAACTTGGCATTTGGACTAATAATTAGGTCTTAGTTATCTATAATAAAATCTTTGTTAAGGACTGATGAAAGCTATAATAAACTAGCATCAGCATATGCGCTTATTAGTCACAATTGAAATATACTTCCAAGACAAGTGGAAAGTAATGAAAAATGTAACATTTCCTTATAGAAATCTATGCAAAGTAATTTTTGACAAATATGACCTAAGTTCAATATGTTCCAAAAGCAGAACTGTCAGAAGCAGATAAACAGCTATAAAATATAAATAATAACCCCATACATATTTACCTGAGAGCAATTCCTTTTAAATTTAATAGGACTTCTTTCCAAATAGATATATGCTTGGTTGGGTTTGTTAGTATACTACTAACAGAAAATTGAACAGGAACATCTGATAAGTTTCCAAATGCTTTCAAATACACAGATAAGGATGTCCATATACTAATTGTTTTAACTGTGTCAAAACTCCAGCCCAAAATACAGGAATCGGCCAGAATTTCAGAACTTCATTCAATTCTAGATTCGTGTTTGCCATAAACAAGCAAGAAACGTATCTTGTACAAACCTCCCAGTGCTGAAAAAGGACAATAATGTGTAATAATCCTGCAAAATGGCAGATAGGCAGCGATTTCCCTTTAAGTGATGCCCGACTGTTCTTCCGTTTATCCTCCTCTCTCGCTTGTCGGTTGTCATTTCATTCTTGATCAGACAAGTCGGTTCTTCCCGATTCCCCATCTTTACATTTTTGGACCCATTGATGTACAGTACTCACGTCAATACAGTCGTCCCCATAAACAGCCTGCATTCGGCGGTGAATTTCAATTGGAGGGACTCCTTTGGCAGTCAAAAACTCAATCACGGCACGTTGCTTAAAGCGTATGGCCGAGTACTCAGCGCAGGCTTCCATTGCACCAGCAATAGCAACCCAACCTTTTCTCTCTTTCTCTCACCCACCTCCCGCCAACTGAAGCGAAAAAAGAGACGCTAAACAAAACAGGGCAGAGGTTCCGGCACTGCCATCTGCTGGCGAGCTAACATTGCGACCGTTGCTTTTCCTTTCAAACCCCGACAGTAAGCGGCACGATCTTACGTCAGGCCTGAACCGGGGAGGCCCAAATTCGGATCTGAATTCGAATTTAGGCCGGTTCCTCTTCCTTCAGCCCCAACCTGCCTCACAGACTGGAAGGGAGACCGACGTTTATCTATTATTTCTAAGGTGCGCGTACACTTACACCACAGACCCCCAGGAGGTAGGTTATACATACACACACACACACACACAAAATATATATATACACACACATAAATGTAACCATACTGAAAACTGCCCTCCCAGCGCCATTTCCCCTTTTAAGGGGGGCAGGAAAGCCCTTCTGGAATATTGTTACCTGCGAAAGAGTTTGCCTTCTTTTTCCGATATCCGTTTAATACCCAAAAGTTATCTAAGGTTTTACGGTAACTGGCCAAGTTCTTCGCCGTTTCCTTCGTGCTTTTTGTATCATATTAAACGCCTAGTCGCTTTTTAGTCCATTTTGCTCTATTTTATTATTACCGGGTTTTGCATTAAGTCTTATGCTTTGATTTTAAAAGGTTCCTTTTTTTTTTTTTTTTTAGTCTGGAGCCCCAACTTACCTCAAAATTTCTCCGTCGCCAAACTGAAATTCACTTTTCCCGCCTCTTTGGTTCTTGCTCCTTGTTCCGAACGGCTTCCCTCTCAACCCGCCCCTTTCCACAACTAACCATAGAGTTGGGGAAGACCAGAGCCACGCAAGCTAGACTCCCGGTAGTTGTCACGATTCTCCGGCACACCAAATCAGCTCTGATTGGGTTCAACAAGTAGACGGAGGGAGGGAGGTGGACGGCGCAGATTGGCTGAAGCGGGGGAAAAGGGAAGAATAGAAATGGCAGAGATTGGCTATTCGGCCAATGGCTTTGGGAATATGATTGGCCGACATCGAGGAGCTGCTGTAAGCAGAGGCAGAGCTTTAAGGCGGCAGCGCCAAGATGGCGTATCAGACTTTTCGGCAGGAATATCTGCAGGTGCCTCCTGTCACACGGGCCTACACTACCGCCTGCGTCCTCACCACCGCGGCTGTGGTGAGTGGAGGAGGGTGGGCTGCCGTGGTCGGTCGGCGGTACAATAAGCAGTCGTTCGGGGGGAATCCGTAGAGCCTCTCCTTGACATAGCCTCTGCCTTGGCTATTGGGCAGATCTGTTCTATTTCTAGATAGGGTCGTGATGAACTTTTTTCCCCCTCTTTGACTCCAATAATTAATTAAATTTATATGCCACCCATCTCAGTATCCGAAGTGATTCTGGGCGGCATAAAAACTTCATGCAGCTTAAGTTTCGAAGAGGGGTTATATATCTATGGCACTGAATGTAAACAACCCTTCCACTCCTGGGGACCCATCTGCTAAGAACCGATATTAGAACAGGCCATGAAGAGTTAGGATCCCTCAGATTGATTTTACCATATGGCTGTGAAAATTAAATCAGGCTGAGAAGAGAATTAAGATAAAATTGTGTAAAATAGAATCTGGAACCCAGTCCAGATATAATCAGAATATTTATTTTTCCACTGAATAGTAAATCCTGAGCCTGAGAAACCATCATTCAATCTACTCACCTGCAGCATAACTAAAGTTATCACCTAGCTATGCTATCATTTGTGTAGACGTTTTTTCTGATACACACATAAACTCACAGCTTAAAATATGGTGCAAAACAAAACATGAAGATGTCAGAGATCTTGATATTAAAGGTATATAGTTTTTTTTTAGAGCAGTCGCTTTTGGGATAGCGTGCACATACAAAAAAAATACCCTTAGCATGTTTTCCTCAATGTCCAAACAAGCAGAACATAAAAGCAGTAGCCTTCCTTTTTGCGTGCAAGTGTAACATCAAGTTTCTTTCTACAGATACTTACTACAAGTTTTATCTTTTTAAAAGTTATCTTATAAAGTGGCCTTTGCTATACCGATTGTATTATTGTTGTTTTGCTTAGAATTCTGAAATAGAACAAATGGTCCAATTAAGAGGGTTCATCTTTATGGAAGGAAAGAAATGGTACTTTATGTTTGTGGGGGGGAAAAACAGCAGGTTCTGCCTGATTGGTATTGGATAAAATCAGATGTGTGTTTATGCATGAAGATAGATTGTTTATGAACTAGATTGCATTAGGTCATCAAAGATACTCTAAATTCAATATAACCTGTCTAATGGATTCATATATCACAATATTTACAACTGCGAATTCCTTTGTATTTTCCTTTCTTTTAGCAATTAGAATTAATCACGCCTTTTCAACTGTATTTCAACCCAGAATTGATATTTAAAAACTTTCAAGTAAGTGCTCTTTTGCATGTTTTTTATAAAGACAAGTAGAATAATGCAGTTTTCACAAATCAGAATTGCTAGTATTTTTAACAAATTGAATCAAGTCTTGAGATTTTTGGTAGAAGTTAACAGTCTAATTAATACCTGTGAGCATTATTCCTAATGTTACATGTTGATTCTGTGTATATGTATGTATGAATGTATGTATATATGTGTGTGTTTATCCATCCAGTTATATATGTGAGTACCAGCCTCACTCACTCCCGGACCACCAAGCTGGAAAGCTTTACAGCACTCTGAGCTGTTTACAACATCAGCATATTGCCCCTAACAATCTGGGTCCTCATTTTACCAACCATGGAAGGCCGAGTCAACCTTGAGCTGTTCAGGATCGAATTCTTAGCAGTGGCCAGAGTTAGCTTGCAATACTGCATTCTAAATCACTGCACCACCACAGCTTCCTCAAACAAACCAGCATTTGCTTAAATGTGATTTATTAATTTCTCATTCCTCATATCTCTTGCAGGTATGGAGGCTGATTACAAACTACCTTTTCTTTGGGCCAGTTGGATTCAATTTTTTATTTAATATGATATTCTTGTATCTTTTGCTTATCTTCTGTATGCAAGCTTACATATGCTTGCATATGTAAGATCTTTTAGACATACCCCAATGAAAGTTGGTTGAATCTTCTTTTCTAATTAATTTTATTTAATATACTGCCATAATTTATATGGACTCCAGATGGTTTAGGAACAACTTTAGAAGCAAATAAGTAATTTAAGGATGATGACACTACCTGATTCCTTATTTGAAAAAATATTATTTCAAGGGTAATCATTTGTTTTCATATGTCAGCAGTGCTAACTCCTAATTTGTTTATGGACAAATCAAGTTTTGCTTAGAGTCAAGATGCCCAAAGGAATCTCTGTGGTAGTATTAATTTGGCCATTCCTTGATATCACCTCATAAGGCTTAGATTAAGTTTGAAAGTGAGGATATGAGAGGAAAAACCTACTTTGTGGTAGTAGCCACTTTCAAGACGCCCGCTCCTAACATAGTACCAGATATATTATTACAGATGAAAGTTTTAGTTGCTTAAGTGTTTCATCGTAGCTCTCCTGAAGCAGGTAATACCTATTGAAATTGGTGAGGTTGCTCACCAAATTTATACTTTTTAAAATTAAAATCACCTGGAGAATGTGAGTTCAAATCCTGCCTTAGGCCTGAAAGACAGCAGGGTGACCTTGGGCCAGTCACACACACTCAGCTCAACCCATCTCACAGGGTTGTTATGGGGAAAATAGGAAGGAGTGTTAGGTGTGTTCACCGCTTTGAGTTATTTGTAAAAAATAATAAAAGTGGCATACAAATAAATAAAAATAGCATTGAAGTTGCTGTTGAATCAAGAATATTCCTTTAGTTGCTTGATTGCTGCATGATAGAATTGTCACTGAGTATATAATCTTTAACAAAAGATGAACATGAGGACTTATTTTGAATACGTATGTATTCAATTAATTGATGTCAATTTCTCCAGATCCATTTTCTTTGTAGGAAGAATAGATTTACATATGAGTCAAATAATGTATTTGTTTACAAAATTTATATAGCTGCCCATTTTAAACAAACCTGGGTGACTAAAAATAATCTATGGAAGAAATAACTCTTCAAATTACAAGCATAAAACAAAATTATAATAACCGTAACCCAACAGAGAATGTGATTGTTGTGATTTGTTCTTGTTGCATCTGTGAGATCTGTACTGGTAATCTCCAAGTTTAAAAGTCTCAACTCAAAAATATCAGCAAATCAAACAATACAAAATTAGATCTGTAATGATAGGAGGCAGATCCTTTACCCTGGTTGTAACTTGGTTACAAAAAGCTACCTTAGATTTTTGGATTGTATAGGCAGAAAGTCCCTGATGTATACCAATTCTATGGCATAGAATTTTTAATGTCAGTATTGACCTTATTTCCCAAAAGATCTGATAAAATGTTTGATTCTGTGTAATTAACAATAGCCTAGAATTATTTCAGTTCTAAATGCTAAAATAAGACTAAAGGTGTATCTACTTGTACTTAAAATCCCTTTTCTTCTTCCACCTCTGAATCTGAAGCTAAAACACAGAACAGAGTTTCATTTTCTTGTAGAAATAAAATAAAATACATCTAGTATTTTCCTGAACTGGTGATCAGATATCGCTATTGTCGAATGCTTGAGGAAGGATCATTTCGTGGTCGGACAGCAGACTTTGTATTTATGTTCCTTTTTGGTGGACTCTTAATGACTGTATCCTTTCATTGTTGGATTTTATATATAAGATCTGGAACAAGATAAAATGATTATAATTGTTCTCCATCTATTTTTGGGATCTCTCTTTAATGGCGAATACATCTTCTAGGAAGGCAACTAAACAAATAGCAAACATTTTTTTCAGAAATGAACATTTTGTAAGAGAATTATGGGCTCTTATGTTGATGGGAATTTATGTGCCGGTATGATAGGCCTGATCAGGGGAAATTATATATAAAAATACCCATTTTTTCAAAGAAAACATTTCCTCAGTTGATTTGGAACTGGTTGGGCTTTAACTTTCTAAAAGAGTCTCA